ATAGTTTTTTTAATTGTATGTTTATTTATAGTTTATTAAGGAATAAACCCCTGTGGCTCATCATCTACATGAAAACTAGAATCTGATAATAATCTAATATGGTATGATGAATCCTGATGATTATCTATGTGGCCTCCTCTCCATCTCAGCCGCTCCTCCCCAACTTGGTAACCACCATGCTGACTAGAGTTCATCATTCCCCTGCTTTCCTTCTGAGTGTATATGTTAGCTGTCTTTAACTTATAAAAGGTTACTGCTCTAAGAAATATATTGTTGCAAGAAACTGTAGTTCATTTATTCTATATAATATTCCTTTGTGGCTTTACTACAATTTATTTATCCATTCTCCTGTGAACGGATATTTGGGTTGTTTCTAGGTTTTCCTGGGAACAGTTCTGACAGGTAGTTAAATTTCATACTTCAAATTTCATCTTAAGATACACTACTTCCATGCCACATGCCACCTTTTCTTTTTATTTCCATAGGTTTTTGAGGAACAGGTGGTGTTTAGTTACATGAGTAAGTTCTTTAGTTGTGATTTGTGAGATTTTGGTGCACCCTTCTCCTGAACAGTATATACTCAATTTGTGGTCTTTTATCCCTCACCCCCTTCCCACCCTTTCCCCCTGAGTCCCCAAGGTCTATTGTGTCATTCTTATGCCTTTTGCATCCTCATAGCTTAGCCCCCACTTATGAGTGAGAACATATGATATTTGGTTTTCCATTCCTGAATTACTTCACTTAGAATATTCATCTCCAATCCCATCCAGGTTGCTCCAAATGCCATTAATTAATTCCTTTTCATGGCAGAGTAGTATTCTATGATACCAGTTTCTTTATCCGCCTGTTGATTGATGGGCATTTGGGTTGGTTCCACATTTTTGCAATTATGATTTGTGCTGCTATAAACATGCGTGTGCAAGTATCTTTTTCATACAATGACTTCTTTTCCTCTGGGTAGATACCCAGTAGTGGGATTGCTGGATCAAATGGTAGTTGTACTTTTAGTTCTTTAAGGGATCTCCACGGTTTTCCATAGTGGTTGGACTAGTTTACATTCTCACCAGCAGTGTAGAAGTGTTCCCTTTTTACTGCATCCACACTAACATCTATTATTTTTTGATTTTTTTTTTTTTTTTTTTTGAGACGGAGTCTCACGCTGTTGCCCAGGCTGGAGTGCAGTGGCGCGATCTCGGCTCACTGCAAGCTCCGCCTCCTGGGTTCACGCCATTCTCCTGCCTCAGCCTCCTGAGTAGCTAGGACTACAGGCGCCCGCCACCGCGCCCGACTAATTTTTTGTATTTTTAGTAGAGACGGGGTTTCACTGTGGTCTCGATCTCCTGACCTTGTGATCCGCCCGCCTCGGCCTCCCAAAGTGCTGGGATTACAGGCTTGAGCCACCGCGCCCGGCCTATTTTTTGATTTTTAAATTATGGCCATTCTTGCAGGAGTAAGGTGGCATCACATTGTGGTTTTGGTTTGCATTTCCTTGATCATTAGTGATATTGAGCATTTTTTCATGTTTGTTGGCGGTTTGTATATCTTCTTTTGAGAATTGTCTATTTATGTCCTTAGCCTAGGGTTTTCTTTTTTTTTTTTTTTTGAGATGGAGATTTGCTCTTTTGCCCAGGCTACAGTGCAATGGTGCGATCTCAGCTCACTGCAACCTCTACCTCCTGGGTTCAAGTGATTCTTGTGCCTCAGCCTCCCGAGTAGCTGAGATTATAGGTGCCTGCCATCACGCCTGGCTAATTTCTGTATTTTTTAGTAGAGACAGAGTTTCACCATGTTGGGCAGGCTGGTCTCGAACTACTGACCTCATGATCTGCCCGCCTCCACCTCCCAAAGTGCTGGGATTATAGGCGTGAGCCACCATGACCGGCCATCTCCTTCCTCCTTCACCACAACCACCAAATCAGCCCCTAGGTGTATTTGGTATTCAGATTTCATTTAAAGAAAAAGTTTTGATGGCAACAAATGTGCAAACTTCTCTACACACTCCACACTCAACTGATGACATTCATTTTGTTGTGTGCTGTCTTATATTCTTCTCATACTCCTGAAGCTCCATGTTAAGGTAGTTTACAGGCACGTCACTAAGTCCCTCGCTCTGCTGCTCTGAGACCATCTTAATAGCCAGGAGTACTGTTTGAACATTATCATAAAGTACATACTGTAACCTTGAACCCTTGGTCTCAAGTGATCCTCCCTTCTCAGCCTCCCAGGTAGCTGGATGACAGGAATGTGCCACTACAGCTGGCTAATTAAAAAAATTTTTTTTTTTTTTGGTAGAGACAGGGTTTTGGTATGTTGCTCAGGCTGGTCTCAAACTCCTGGCATCAAGTGATCCTCCCACCTCAGCCTCCCAAAGTGTTGGGATTACAAGCATAAGCCACCATGCCAGCCTAGAATTTTATAGGATGAAGAAAAGAGAGACAAGATGACTATTCATCTAAGAGAGAGATGTTCTTAATACAGGAACTAATCACTATTTCATTTTTGCCATTAGAAAGAAGATTGTGATATCATGCCTGTTATCACAATATCAACTATTGTGATATCATGCCTGTTTGCTAGCACCTTTCTGAAAGTGCACTAAGCCATAGAGGAGGAAAGCAGTCCCTTGGCTTCCATCTACTTGGATGCATGTGATGTGTGTGGCACACGTGGCAGAGCCGTGGGCATCTTGCTAGCTGTTGAGCTTTGGGATCCATTCTGATTGCTTCTCCCAAATGAGGCAGGAAACATCTCATTCACATGGATACAAACATTCCATTGCCTTCTTTTATTGCTTAGTACTTTATTTCCACTGATGACATCAATCACATTATTGTGTTTAGTTGTGTATACTTCTGTTAGAGTTCCTTAAGAGCCAGGCCTGTGCATTATGTATCTTTGCATCCTAAGTACCTGGCATATGCTTAGCACACAATAACATAATAATTAGACGGGAACTGAATATATGAGGTTAGACCTCAGAAGTCACTTGCTCTACCAGTTACTGTATGTTTAATTATTCAGTCAACAAGTATTTGAGAGCTTTCTATATGTGATGTCCTACACTATGCACTGGTGATTTAACTTCTGAATGGGTTATAATTCAGCATGAATGGGCTGTAATTCAGCAAAAAGCCAAGCCTAGTATGATTCAGCAAGAACCACCAGCCTCTTAGTGGAAAGGGTTTCTTCGGGAATATGCACTTTCCTCTCTTTTAAAGAGTAACTTATGGGGTCCAAAACTTTATTTCTCTCCTTTCATTCTAGGGCTAGGAAAAAAAGGATAGAAGGCACATGACGTACTTAGGTCCCACCCTCATCACACTCAACAGAATATCATACTAAGAACCAAATAATAAACTTTAATTTGAATAATACAGTAGAATATAATAATTATTTTGAGGTACAAAAATAATTATAAAATATTTTTCCCATTTGCAAGTAATGTAGGCTATAGACTATAAATAGTACCCTGATGCTAGAAACTGTACATATTTCACTACATGCCTAAGTCTGAGTCTTCCTCTCTCCTCTATCATCACATGTAAGAAAACCAGCTGTGCAATACTACTTTGCAATCTTGAAACTCTGTTAAGACATTTCAGAAGTAGCTATCTTTAATAACAGAATGAGATGGTACCTTTATGTATGTTTTTTGAAGATGAAAAACATAGATGAAAAAGTTTACAAAACTCAGATTTCTGCCATTTTTGGAATATCTGCTTTTTTTCCCCCCAAAAAACAGGAAAATGTCAGAGAGAATCTAGAGTGTTGAATTCAACAAAAGCTCATTTGAAAGTAAACCTCCATCAGTGGAAAAGCTTTTTGACTACAGGCAATTTGAAAATAATAGCAATTCACTGGAAGACAAATTTCACTGTGAAAACCTGCTGACGAGTTCTGCCTGTCTTTTTCTATTACTGTGTTTCCTAATATTTTAAGTGAGGTAAGAATTATAAGAATGATTCTAAAAATTATAGCAGGTTCTACCTAGATGGGACCCCATCTAGTTCCTAAGATGCTGAGAGCCATTTATTATTTAAAAAGTAAGAACAACATGAGGAAACAGAAGCTTTGGCATATGAAAAAAGATGTAGCTTTGCTTCCTAGAATTCAGTTATTTAGGCCAGTTTATTTTGATTTGTGCTCTGAGCTGATTATATATGAGTCTAAGATAAAAGACAGAAAAACTGGCCATCTTCCCGAGTAGAGGTGAAATAACCCCTTGTGACAGTCCTGAAGGTGAAGGCGATCTTCAGTCATTGATCTCTTCTTGGCTGCTTTCACTCCTGCCATTTTCTCACCTCCTTTCTATACAACTCCTTCATCCACAAGTGGAGTGCTGGGATAAGTGGAACAGCTAATACAGTACCTATGGGGATTTTCCTGACTTCAGTGCTTGAGGAATTCTTTCTTTCTGTTCTCTTCCCATCTATTCTCTTCTAAGTAGGGATGGCTCTGCATTTTCTAGACCTGTAACACTAGGTACCTTAAACTAATAGAAAAAAACTATATGGTGTAAAAACAAAGATAGTATAAAACGTAGAAAGATGTGGGTCTATTTTCTGGAAATAGGTTGTGAGCTTAAGAATGCTCAGTTTAGCCGGGCGCGGTGGCTCAAGCCTGTAATCCCAGCACTTTGGGAGGCCGAGACGGGCAGATCACGAGGTCAGGAGATCGAGACCATCCTGGCTAACACGGTGAAACCCCGTCTCTACTAAAAACTACAAAAAACTAGCCGGGCGAGGTGGCGGGCGCCTGTAGTCCCAGCTACTCGGGAGGCTGAGGCAGGAGAATGGCGTGAACCCGGGAGGCGGGGCTTGCAGTGAGCTGACATCTGGCCACTGCACTCCAGCCTGGGCGACAGAGCGAGACTCTGTCTCAAAAAAAAAAAAAAAAAAAAAGCTCAGTTATATAATAGGTTTATGTTATAAGAGCTCAGAAACATGGGCTGGAATACGACTTACGACAGAGAGCCTAGCCATTAGGAGGTTCCCTCAGAGGACTTTACACAATTCATGTTTTATTATTGTTACATTAATAAGTGCCCATAATGCATATAAATAATCACTGTAGCACTACTTTCAAAACTGATGTTTGTTCAGAAAGATACATTAACAAAAACCTAACCTGCTTTGTTACCTAAAATATTATGGTACCAAAATATAATGGACTAGTGAGATTCATAAACATTGTTTCTTGAATACCTTTAGAGGTACTGCAATTTTTTTCATAGTACTCACCTTTTAAAACACTGCAGTACTCATCTTACTGCACTGTAACGTGTCATTATTATCAACAATTTAATTACTGAAAGAGTAATCCCACAAATCTATCCTATTAATGACTGGACAGTTTGATAAAGGAACTTACTGCTATTCTTAGAATCACATAGCTAGTTATTCTCCCAAGATTCAGAGGTGCAGTTATAAAACCCCTTATGGAATTCCCCAATAAAATGGGATAATGTACAGAGATCCCTTAAAGTTAAATGATAGAATGATGCTGATTCTTGAACATCAAAGATGTTTGTTATTGCAGCCAGGGGACAATGCCATAAAACACTAACAAAAAAAAGTTATACTGTTTTCCTTAAAGTCAGTAAATTATATAAAAGTACTCTGAGCATTTTTGGAAGAAAGGCACCAGATAAGTCCAAAGTCTTATTGCTAGTAGGATCATACAGGGTCACAGACTATGGCACTCTGTTCAGCCAGGAGACTAGGTCTCAGCAAGTCAGTCTCTGACCTTGAGGCTTAAAGAGCAAGGATGGAAAATGTCAATAAAACAGAGCCCTGTATCACAGATTAAACTGGAGTGAAAATGATTTCCAGTTTTATGCCAAAGTAGAAGCTGGTTCCTAGGATGCTGGAGCTATTTTAGATGGGCACTCTGTTTTCTTTGGCCCATTTCTTCATGATCCGGATCATGTATTCTACTTGGGTGTTACCTGTGCTTCTCAGTAAATGGAGCACTTCTCGAAGGGTCTCTCTGAGGAGAAGATTTAAAAAGACAAAATGTTTCAATGAAGAATGAAAATTAAAAAACAAAATAAACTCTGAACTGTCCTTCATACTGTATGCCTTGTGGGGCATTTTTGGTAATAGACTCTTCCACTGTGTATTTATAAAGCAATTACAAACTTACTAGCCTTATGTTTTCACGGTGGCATAGTAAAATGGAAATTATGTGAAATCTTTCTTACCAATCCAAGTATTCTTTGTTTATCCATACTACCTATATACATACTGATAATCTTTTTGTCCTTTCTGAGATGATCTAAATATTCCAATTTCTATTCTTATTCTGCATGACTAGAAAGGGTATATCCAGAAGTTGGGGTTCAAGTTCTAGCTCTAACAGCAGCAAGTCACTTAGTTTGTCTAACTTGTGGATTTCTCCCTTGTTTAAGGTGGTAACCACCATCAACTAGGCATCACTGTCAAATTTATAAAATTTTACAAAGCCAAAGGAATAAGGGATTTTTTTCAAGAAAAATAATACATGAATAAATATGGAAGAGAGGAACATTAAGGACTAAGCCTAGCATTTATGTCTGAAGTAATTTAAATTTAATTAAAATTAAAACATATTTTAAGTAATGCATGCTAAAACTTCCCTATTGCCCTAGCAAATCTATAGGCGACTGCCTATGATCCTATTTGCTTAAGAGTCTTCTCATATTTTCTATTTCTTTTTCCCCACAAACAACCTCTTTCACCTAACCAAATGCTTTTAAACTTTTACTTAGAACTAGAAGTACTATAAGGTAGGAAGTAATGTTCGATAGATTATTTTCTTACAAAATTATCACATTTCCTATTCATATATGTATCAGTAACAAATACATTCCATGAAGTTATTTTTAGAAAATGGATTCAAGTTGGTTTTAATGTTTGTTTCAAATGAAACTATATGCTGGGCATGGTGGCTCATGCCTGTAAGCCCAGAACTTTGGGAGGCTGAGGTGGAAGGATCACCTGAGGTCAGGAGTTTCAGACCAGCCTGGCCAACATGGTGAAACCCTGTCCCTACTAAAAATACAAAAATTAGCCAGGTGTGGTGGCACGTGCCTGTAATCCCAGCTACTCGGGAGACTGAGGCAGGAGAATCACTTGAACCCAGGAGGCGGTGGTTGCAGTGAGCTGAGATCACGCCATTGCACTCCAGCCTGGGCAACAGAGCAAGACTCTATCTCAAAAAAAAAAAAAAAAAAAAAAAAAGAAGAAGGTATAAACCACTTATTTTATGTAAACTAATGTCTCAGTATTTCCTAGAATATGAGAAAGTGAAAGAAAACAAAAGAGTTATCAACCACATCTACTCCATTCCTAATTCTTTGAGACCTAAAGGACACAAGAAAAACCCAATAGGCAAAAAAACAAAAAACAAACAAAAAACCCAAAAGAGTAGAAGAGTTAAATAAAAACACTTTGTTTATAAAAATGGCTATTCATTTGGAACCAAATATACATCCTGCTCTTATATTTGGAGACTGTTAGTGTACTCAATGTATATATGACTTAGAATGATCTGATCCTATTATATATGATTTAGAATTATCTGATTCTAAAAAATGAAAGATTTCTGGAGGAAAATGGTCAGACAGAAATATTTAACATCAACCTTTTTTTTCATCATTCTAAAACATCATTAAAATTGTGTGTTTTCAGAAGATATCATCCAAGAGAACAATTATTTTCCTGCACAAACAAGCAAATGATTAGAGGTAGTATTTCTTGCCTGTTTACTTACTTGGGTTCTCTCCCAGCTACGATCATCTGGAAAATGCCCACACAGGCACCCCTTTTGCCTTCCCAATATTCAGGGTTGGGATCCAGTCTCTCAAGGACATCAAAAGCTTTGGCAGAATAGTAAAACTGGCCCATCTGAGTAAGAGAAAGTATGTGGTAATACTTGCAGTAAAAAGATTGCACAGAAAGAACCTGAACATAAAGATAACATGAAACGGAACTGTATGAAGTAAGTGCATGGGTACTGACAACATTTTCAGTTAGCAAGTTAGAAAAACTTCAATTCCTAATTAAAACAATAAGAAGGAAAAATACAATTTGGGTACATAGGTTCAGTTTACACCACCTTATGTTCACTCGGTTTTCAACAGTATAACATTTTTTCTACATAGAGTCAAGTTATGCTACAATCAGCACTTTTGCCATTTCTTCTAATTGTATTCTAATCTTGAGGATAAGCTCTGATGATTGTGATTTGAACTGAGTATTTTTCAAGTCTCTTCAATACATTCTTTTCAGATGACTACTATCATTCATTTTATGCTAATTTGATCATGTTCAACTCGAGAACAGTCTTTCCCTAGTCTTGTTCCTAAATTCTCAGAATGCTTAGATGTATACTGACTACTATTCTAAACACTAAATCTTTCAAATGTTTAATGCATTTTGACAGACATTTTTCCCAAATGTACTACACATATCCTTGGCCTCATAGAACATGTTGAATGCCATTAAATTTTGCTTAGATTAGTTTTCTTTTATTTTAAAAAAAATTTTTAATTCATTATTTTTTTAGAGATAGGATCTGGCTCTATTGCCCAGGCTGGAGTGCAGTGGTACCATCATGGCTCACTGCGACCTCAAATTCCTGGGCTCAAGAGATCCTCCTGCATTAGCGTTCCAAGTAGCTGAGACTACAGGTGCACATCACCATGCCCAGCTAATTCTTAATTTTTTTCAAGACAGGCTCTCACTATGTTGCCCAGGTGGGTCTCAAACTCCTGGCCTCAAGTGATCCTCCCAGTTTGGTTTCCCAAAGTGCAGAGATTACAGGCTTGAGCCACCGCGCCTGGCCAGATGAGTTTTCTTACTTGGCAATCGTAAATGCATACTGTTACCAATTTCACCTAAGGCTTCAAATTGCTGGGCAACTCTCTTTATGGTTTATAACTTCTTTATTTCTGACAGATGTGTTTCTAAATCTTTGACAGTTTCCTTAAGACAGCCTTCTTAGCTTAGTCTTATTCTGTACTTCATAGGGAAAACACAACTTTCCTCTCTTCAATTCAAATTATATTTACACCTTCATTCATCCTTTCCTCCTTTTTGCCTAATCTCACATGAAGCTTTTTTTTATTATGTTCAAGGTTTTTCCTTCTATTTATGTACTTTTTAAAAAAAGAGTCTTTATTGTGAAATAACACACATATAGGATGGTATATGAAACATTCACGTACAGCTTACTAATCATAATGTGAAAATACTGTAAACACTACCCAGGTCAAGACACTGAGAGCAACACAAAAGCTCTCTGTGTGTCACTTCCAGACCATAACTCCCTCTTTCCATACCCAGAGATAACTACTCTTCTGACTTTTATGGTTATCAGTTCTTTGACTTTATGTTCTCTCTTATGTACACACATCTTTAAACAATATAATTGAGTTCCGCTTCTCAGAACTTTATATGAACGAATACTGTAAATATTCTGTCTTGTACCTATGATTCAACATTATAAGACTCATCTATATTGCTGTATATAGCTGTAGTTGATTCATTTAAAAAATTTTTTTATTTGGAAGTATTAATAATTATAGATCCATGGACAAAGATAAGACAGAGGTCACGTGTACCTTTCACCTAGTTTCCTCCAAATGTTACAGCTTACATAAGGATCGTAAAATATCACAATATAAAAATCAGGAAATTGACACTGGTACCGTGTATGTTGATGATGGTCCTGTTATTTCATCCTGTGTGTAGATTCATGTAACCACAACCATGCAACTATCAAGATATCGAATTACTGTTTTGTTTTTGGACACAAGGTCTTGCTTTTTCATCCAGGATGGAGTGCAGTAAAGCAATCACAGCTCACTGCAACCTTGAACTTCTGGGCTCAAGTGATTCTCCTGCCTCAGCCTCTTGAGGTAGCCACCATGACCAGCTATTTAAAAAAAATGTTTTATAGGACAATGTCTCACTATGTTGCCCACGCTGGCCTTGAACTCCTGGCCTCAAGCAATCCTCCTGCCTTGGCCTCCCAAAGTACTGGGATTACAGGCATAAGCCACCATACCTGGCCAAGATGCAGAACTATTATATCACCACAAAGATTTCCCTTGTTACTCTTCTACAGTCATATGCACAGCCCTCCCTGCTCACCATCCCTAACATCTAACAACCACTAATTTGTTCTCTATCTCAATAATTTTGTCATTTCTTTTCTTTTCTTTTCTTTTTTTAAGATGGAGTTGCGCTCTTGTTGCCCAGGCTGGAATGCAATGGCACAATCTCGGCTCACCGCAACCTCTGCCTCCCGGGTTCAAGCAATTCTCCTGCCTCAGCCTCCCAAGTAGCTGGGATTACAGGCATGTGCCACCATGCCTGGCTAATTTTGTATTTTTAATAGAGACGGGGTTTCTCCATGTTGGTCAGGCTGGTCTCAAACTCCCAACCTCAGGTGATCCACCCACCTCGGCCTCCCAAAGTGCTGGGATTACAGGCTGAGCCACTGCGCCCGGCCAATTTTGTCATTTCAAGAATGTTACATATATGAAAGCTAACAGTATGGGACCCTTTGAAACTGGCTTTTTTCTATCAGTATAATGTCCTTGTTATTCCCTGTTAATTCAAGTTACTGTGTGTTCCAATAGCTTGCTCCTGTTATGGTCACTCTGCAAATTCAAGAGGGACTCCCAACCAAAGTTTGGTTTGGATGGTGAAACTGAGGACACCACACACACACAGCAAGAGGATATGAAACATTTTCTTACACAGTTGAAGTCTAGGGAGAGTAGAACGGCCCTATTAAGCAGATCTGAAAAGGCCTGAGAGAGCACGGAAAGAAGACTGGCCTTTGTGTTTACTGTGGTTAGGAGGTGGGGCCGTGGTGAAGGTTCCTGTACATGGGTAGGGACTTGTGTGGTTTAAATCACCCTATGGTGCCAAAGGAGGGAGCACGTAGGTTTTCTTATCATTTTGCCCAGATGTGGGGCACAAGGGGAAGAGGTAGGGGTGAGGCTTAAAAGCTGTCAGCAGTCAAACATCCAGAAATGGAGTAAGACTTCTCATTATAGTTCCTTTTTATTACTGAGTAGTATTCCAGGCCAAACCAGTCTGTTTAACTATTCACCTACTGAAAGACTTTGACTGGCTCCAGTTTTAGGCTATTACAAATAAAGCTGCTATTAACATTTAAATATTAAAATTTGTGTTACTAACATTTATATATTTCTGTGGATATAGGTTTTCATTTACCTGGGATAAATACACAGGAATGCAATTGCTAAGTCATATGGTAAGTATGTTTATTAAAGAAACTGCCAAACTATTTCACAGTGGGTTTTTTTTTTTTGATCCTTTTAATTTTGACCTATGTATATCAATATATTTAAAGTGAATTTCTTGTTGAGAACACATAATTGGGTTATGTTTTTTAATCCACTCTCTCAATAGATGTCTTTTAATTGGTATACTGAGACCATCTACATTTAATTATTGACATGTTAGGGCTTAATTCTGCCATTTCCCCCCTTATTCTCTTTGTTTTTCTTTGGCAAGGACATCACACATATGCTGGATAAAGACATGACTGTGTGATCCCCACAGAAGGAAGATAAGAAAAACCTGTATTTGACTTCTCTAGCCTTCACCTACACCTATCTTTTTCCTGCTGTTCCTGTAGTGTGATAAATTTTAGCCATGAGTATAGCTTTATATTGAGTCATATGAGTCCTTCTAGTAAATCACCAAACTAGTGGGTTGTCATGCGACCACTGAGACACTAGGTAATGCCAACTTGTTTTTCAAGTAGTTATCTTCCTTTGATGTTAACCCTATTCCCCTCTCATCTCCTCTAGGGCCTAACTCCATCAAAAATGCCCTATCCTCCTGAATTTTTAATCTGCCTGTTCAATGGCTCATTTTCTTCCGCCTACAGATATACTCCCCTATCCCCACTCTGAAAGAACTCTCCACCCCATCCCCCCCAATCCCAAACTCTGATTTTCCATTTAAGTTAGCACTACATTTTTCCTCATCATCAATATCAAATTTTTTAAGACTCTGGTCTACATGACACTCGCTGCATCTGCTTTGTAATCTGACTCTATTCTCTACCTGTTACTGTCTTCTCAGTCCTCATGCATTTCTATCCAGTTGCAGATTTGACAGTCTCCTGCCTTGGCTTTTGATTAAATAGGAGCAAGGAAAAGTAATGAAAAGCTTTTTTTTTTTTTTTGCCTATTCTCATTGTTTTCCTTCTCTTGTGGTTCATCCTCTCTTTCATTTACTCTTGTTTCCCTTTCTAGACCTTAAACACTGGTGTTCCACAAGGTTCCTCACCCCATTTACTGGTTAATCTTATTCTCTCTCATACTCTGCTATTGCTGCTGCTGCTGCTGCTGCTACTACTACTACCACTGCTACAACCATTGTGATTACCACCACTAACTACTGTTAACTTCTAAATCTACATTGTTAACTACTAAATCTACATTGCTAATCCAGACGAATACCAAAGCTCCAAGGACAGCCTGTTAATTTCCTACTTCTATTATCTCTGCTGGGAGCCTCAAAGACACTTCGGATTTAATATATCTAAAACTGAAATAATTTCCTGTCTTCTAATGTTTTCCTTCCCTCTGCCTCCCCTAATTTATTTAAGGGCATTGCCACCCACCAAGTCATGTTAAACTATTGTTTAAGTTTCCTATGTCTTAAAATCTTTTCCACTGATAGTGATTCACTTCTTTTTTTGGTAATGATTCACTTTGAAATGAGCTTTTGTTGATTAATTTAATACAAGATTCTCTTTACCTGACACTTACCTGTATTTTTGACATTTTTGGAACAGATATTCCAAAAATAGGAACTTCTAGAATTTGAGGCTGATTTTTAAAAAACATTAATCTATAGGCTAGGTCCCAAAACTACTACCTCCTCCTATCCTTTCCAACTCCCCCCAGCCCCCCCCCACACACACCAACATATACACAAAACAGCCATTCCTTTACTAAATCTGACTAATTTTTTGTTCTCTTTTTCTGGTTCCTTTGTCTTTCCTGTCTGCCATTTGTACCTCAAAGTTTGGTTTGCATCTCTTCTCACTTTACATTGTACTTGGGTAATCTCACTGTTTTTCAGGGCTTCAGTTAATCCAGTCATGCACTTCACAACAGTATTTTGATCAATGATGGGCAGCATATATGACTGTGGTTCCATATTATATTTTTACTGTGCCTTTTCTATGTTTAGATATGTTTCAATACACAAATATTAGCCATTGTGTTATAATTACCTATGGTATTCAGTACATGAACATGCTGTACACGTTTGTAGCCTAGGGAGCAATAGGCTATATCATATGGCCTAAGTGTATAGTGGGCTATACCATCTAGGTTTGTGTAAGTGCACTCTGATGTTTGTACAATGACAAAATCACCCAATGACACATTTCTCAGAACTTATCCCCATCATTAAGCAATACAGGACTGTACTTAAATGTTGATGACTCCCAATCTATATCTGTAGATGTCAGAAGACATCTTTCTTGAGCTTCAGTAGCAAATTTCCAACTACCAGATGATTATCTGTACATCAACACTACCTAAAGATTCATACCCTTTAGAAATCTAAAACTTCCTCTCTAATCATTTCATATACACGTAAATCTCTGAAATACTGCCTATCTCTGAGTTCAGTTCATTCATAAAAAGAATGGCTTCTCTTATAACACTATGTGAATCCTCTCGCTACTAGCCATTTAGTCTGTAGGACATTTTCCCCTAATATTTAGCCAATGCAGCAATGTGATACTAATCTTCAATGTCCCCTTTAGTCTCAGTCAGACTCACCTTGTAGCAGTCATTAGCAATGAGCTGTAAGAGACTGAAGGACTCGCCAGAGGTTTCCATCTTAAGATAAAGTTCCCAGGCTAGTCTTGGTTTCTTATTCATAATATCTGCAAAAGGAATCAAAGATTTGTAAACAAATGAGTCATTTTTACATGTACAAAAAATAATTTCTGCACCTTATTATTCTATGGATTTGGTTCCGTATTCCAAATAAAGTAGTGGAAAGCTTTCATGGAAAGCTTGCAATGTTGGTATTCAGCTGGCTCCCTGCCAGAATTCTACCATACTTAAAATATTTAAGTTAGAGTCACATAATTATGTCTTTCAGATCGGATTGACTTCTGGTAGTTCCTACTTTGCTCATATGCTTAAAAGAGGATAACTATCATTCATTCAATCCTACTCATAGTTTCAATCTCACTTAGAAGATATGATTGCTAAATTTTCCTCTGACTACAAAAACTCAGTGAACATTTTACTTAATTTTGTTTTTTTATTGAGACAGAGTCTTGCTCTGTCACCCAGGCTGGAGTGCAGTGGTGTGATCTTGGCTCACTGCAACCTCTGCCTCCCAGGTTAAGTGATTCTCGTGCCTCAGCCTCCCCAGTAGCTGGGATTACAGGTGTGTGCCACCATACCCAGTTAATTTCAGTACTTTTAGTAGAGCTGAGGTTTTGCCATGTTGGCCAGGCTGGTCTTGAACTCCTGACCTCAAGTGATTCGCCTGCCTCACGCTCCCAAAGTGCTGGGATTACAGGTGTGAGCAACTGTGCCTGGCAAACATTTTAAATCTTGAGTTTTAAAAAGGAGCAAGAAAAGAGTGAGTGAGAGAGAGAAAGAGACAGAAAGTAAAGTTCTATATCAAAAAATTACATTTTTGACATTTTGCCACTTTTCAGACTTGACCCATAGTGAAAAGTTAAAATTAGTGTAACAACATCATTTCACAAACAACACTATAAGCTGAGACTCTGGAAACTGTAATGAGACTTTAGAAAGAACTTGACATTTTTCAGGCTATAAGTACTAGGTCAATGCTATATGGTAGAACTAATCACAGGGTAAACTTGCATGACACATTTACATGGCAACACTTACTGAGTTGCATTAACAACCCTTAATTTCAGTGTTTACTCATTCTCAGAACAAAATGCAAAATCAAATTAGAAAACATTCCATGCCATTTCCGAACAGATTATGTAACCAAAAAGAAAAAGAGGATTCTTCTTGTAACATTTAAAAGAAGACTCACAGCACCGAGCTAACCAGCTGAGGTAAATGTAATCATTTTTCATTTTCTCACTTTGGATCAAGAGGAACGCCTGCAAGAAGAGGAAAGAAAGGGAATACAGATGAGGATGGTTTTGCAACAAAAATACCCATTATTGGCTTGCCTTAGATTGATAATCACTGTAGCATTATAGATGACCAAATTCTAGGCAGGCTGCTAAGAAAAGTAAGGGACAAAATTGTGGTGATTTTAAAATATTGGCCGGGTGCGGTGGCTCACGCCTGTAATCCCAGCACTTTGGGAGGCCAAGGTGGGCAGATCACGAGGTCAGGAGATCAAGACCATCCTGGCTAACATAGTGAAACCCCGTCTCTACTAAAAATACAAAAAATTAGCCAGGTGTGGTGGTGGGCGCCTGTAGTCCCAGCTACTTGGGAGGCTGAGGCAGGAGAATGGCATGAACCCGGGAGGTGGAGCTTGGAGTGAGCCAAGATCACGCCACTGCACTCCATCCTGGGCGACAGAGCAAGATTCTATCTCAAAAAAAAATAAAAATAAATAAAAATAAAAATATTACACCAGAAATTGATACTACAAGCTGACAAAAGTTGGTAAGGATATAGAAGATTCAAACAGAATAATTAACAACTGTATGATACATATTCTTTTTAAGCATATATGACCATGCTACACACAGGTCAGTAAGGCAAACCTCAACAAATGGCACATGCCACCATACTCAGCTATTTAAAAAAATTTTTTGTAGAGATGGTGTCTCACTATATTGCCTAGGCTGGTCTCGAACTCCTGGGCTCAAGTGATCTTCCCACTTTTCAGCCTTCTGAAATGTTGGGATTATAGGTGTGAACTAGCTCGCCCAGCCCAGACCACATTCTATGACCACAAAAATACAATTAAGTTAGAAATCAAATAAGTAAAGAAACATATTGATAGTCATCAAGCTGTATACTTATGATTTGTATACTTTTCTGTACATATGTTATATTTCTATAAAATGTGCTAAAAAGGGAAAATTTTAATATGGTTATAAAATCTATGTCTATTCACATTGTACCTTTTTTTTTTTTTTTTTTAAGAGACAGGGTCTCACTATGTTGCCCAGGCTGGAGTGCAGTGGCTAGTCACAGGCATGATCATAGTGCACTGCAGCTTAAAACTTCCAGGCTCAAGCCACTGTCCTGCCTCAGCCTCCCAAGCAGCTGGGAATACAGGTGTGTGTCCCTGCACCTTCTCCACAGTGTACTTTTTAATGCATCCTAGGAACAGAGGAATCTTTAATAATCCTTAACCCTTGACCATTTTATTCCAGTGAGAAAAAGATAAGGATGTCTTTAGACAGAATCATTCAAATGCTTTCAAAAGCAGGTACCCACCTCTTCACCCTCACTGGTATTGCCTGTTGCAGCTTTGGCTTGGGCATAATTAAAGTTAAAGATGTCATCATTATAGAAGTAACTCTGAAAAACATCCCAAGAACAGGTCACATTGAGAATGAACATACAAAATATAAAACCATCAGTTATACCAGCTAAACACAAAACTAACCTTAAGGATTAGTTGATGCCACTAATGCCACCATAGAAAATGGGCCATCTCTAACGATATCTTATCTTCTCTGATACATTCTACAGTATTTTGTATATAAAATCTTGTAGATAATTCTATACTGACCTTAAATGAGTTGAGGTAAATCAAGACATCATCAAATTGCTTAAGCAGGAAGAAACAGGAAGCCATGCACTGCCTCCCTGGTATTGTATCTGAAATGGAGGGGGAAAAAAACCCACATATATTCATGAAACTAAAATCCTCTTTAGCTGAAGTTTGAGTTATTTAATAATTTAGACACAGGAAAATATTCCAAAATATCTTTCTAGATTCTGAAATTATATATTTTGTTCAGTGGACAAAACCCCAATATAATGGAGGTCACAGTCCTTGAGAGTGACCAATAATCTCTCTGGGGATTAACTCCCAGAGTCCAAAATGAACACACGCCCTGCAGGTTCACTAACTACATTAACCAGGTCATTTTCCAAGGCTTTGATTCTCTCATCCAACATGTGCATATTCAATTAGTGTGGCCTGGTTTCCATCATCACTTTTCTAAATCAACCAACACTTCCAATCTCAAATGGAAAAATAATTTGCCATGGAACCATCTGATTCTGATCCTGATCCAACTTTTTGCCTGATATCAGATTCCTATTTGAGTAGTGGAGGATTAGTGTAACTCCCACGCTTGCCACAGGCATTCCTAAAGCTCCTTATCCTGTTTCATTTTTTTCCTTTAACATTTATCACAGTCTGATATACTATGTACATCTGATATATATATACACACACACACGCGATATATCTAATCAGATATACATATAAAATTTAAAACCATCAGTTATACCAGATAAACACAAAACTAATCTTAAGGATTAGTTGATGCCACTAATGCCACCACAGAAAATGGTGGCATTTTGTGGTGTATCTGATGAGATGTACATACATATAGTGTGTGTATATATATATATCTGATATACATAGTATATCAGACTGTGATAAGTGATAAAGGAAAAAATTAAACAGAATAAGGAGCCTTAGGAATGCCTGTGGCAAGAGTGGGAGTTATACTAATCCTCCACCACTCAAATAGTAATCTGATATCAGGCAAAAAGTTGGATCAGGATCAGAATATACATATCAGATATACATACGTAGTATAAATATATATGTACACACACACTATATATATACTATATATTATTTCTTTTCTTTTTTTTTTGAGACAGAGTGTTGCTGTGTTGCCCAGGGTGAAGTACAGTGGTGTGATCTTGGCTCATTGCAACCTGTGCCCTGGGTTAAAGCGATTCTCCTGCCTTAGCCTCCCGAGTAGTTGGGATTACAGGCACGCACCACACTTGGCTAATTTTTGTATTTTTAGTAGAGATGGGGTTCCACCATGTTGGCCAGACTGGTCTCGATCTCCTGACCTCGTGATACGCCTGTCTCGGCCTCCCAGAGTGCTGGGATTACAGGCATGAACCACAGCGCCCGGCCACTATATATTGTTTCTAGTCCATCTGCCCTACTAGACTTAAGTTCCACAATGGTTGGGAGTTTTGTTTGTTTACTGCTGTATCCTCAACAGCTCAATAAAGTTTTATTGCATGAATGAATGAATGAATGAAATGGGGAAAATAGTACGCAATAACTGGTATTGGTGAAACATTTGTGAATGTCCAGGAGTGATAAAAATATTTAATATAATTTTCAGTTCAGCATGAACACTGTTACTCAGAATAGATGCCAGACATAGACAACCAGTATAGGCAGCACCATATTGGTTCATGCTGGCTAGCTAGCATCTCTTTTTATACCCCTTTCTCAAATCTTTCACTGAATCTTGGCTGATGAAATACTTTAATCACAAAAATGAAGTTTCAAGACTACTAGTGGGCAATATAGGTGACTATTATATAACTGTGGCAGAAAGAAAGCATTTTCTAAGCTTAATACCCATGCAAGTAATCACTATAGAAAAGAAAAACTTAATTAAAAATGGTTTTAATATTTTTTATTAATCTACTTTGTTTTAAATTTTTGTGGGTATGTAGTCCATATATCCATACTGCATATGGACATCCAGTATATTTTGATACAGGCATACACTGCATAATAATCACATCAGGGTAAATGGGGTATCCATCACATCAAGCATTTATTCCTTCTTTGTGTTACAAACAATCCAATTATAGTTTTCTAGTTATTTTGAAATGTATAATAAATTATATTGTTAACTGTAGTCACTCTGTTGTGCTATCAAATACTAGATCTTATTAATTCTAATTTTTTTTTTTTTTTGTAGCCGTCCTCACTGTCCTCCCACTCCACTACCCTTCCCAGGCTCTGCTAACCATCACTCTACTTTCTATCTCCAAGAGTTCAAGTGTTTTAATATTTTTTAGCTCCCACAAATAAGTGAAAAGTGTGTCTTTCTGTGCCTGGCTTATTTCACTCAACATAATGTCCTCCAATTCCATCCATGCTGTTGCAGATGACAGGATCTCAACTCATTCATCTCATCTCATCCTTTTTATGGCTGAATAGTAAGTATTCCACTGTGTATATGTACCACATTTTCTTTATTCCTTCATCTGTTGATGGATGCTTAGGGTGCTTCCAAATTTCTGCTATTTTGAATTGTGCAGCAATAAACATTGTTGTGCAAATACCTCTTTGATACGCTGATTTCCTTTCTTTTGGGTATTTATCTAGCAGTGAGATTTCTGTATCATATGGTCATCCTATTTTTGGTGTTTTGAGGAACTTCCAAACTGTTCTCCACAGTGGGTGTGCTAATTTACATTCCCACCAACAGTGATGCATTTCTCTGATGATCAGTGATGTTGAACACCTTTTCATACATCCATTTGTCATTTGTATGTCTTTTTTTTCTTTTCTTTTTTTTTCTTTTGAGACGGGGTTCCACTCTTGTTGCCCAGACTGGAGTGCAATGGCGTGACCTCGGCTTACTATAACCTCTGCCTCCTGGGTTCCAGTGATTCCTCTGCCTCAGTCTCCTGAGTAGCTGGGATTACGGGCGCCACCACCATGTCCAGCTAATTTTTTGTATTTTTAGTAGAGACAGGGTTTCACCATGTTGGCCAGGCTAGTCTTAAATTCCTGACAGGTGATCCACCGGCCTCAGCCTCCCAAAGTGCTGGGATTACAGGCGTGAGCCACGGCACCCAGCCTTGTATGTCTCCTTTTAAGAAATGTCTGTTCAGAGTTTTTGCCCATTTTTAAATTGGATTGTTAGATTTTTTTCCTATTGAGTTGTCTGGGCTCCTTCTATATTCTGATTATTAATCCCTTGTCAGATGGCAAATATTTTCTCCATTCTGTGGATTGTCACTTCACTTTGTTGATTGTTTCCTTTGCTGTAAAGAAGCTTTTTTGACTTGATGTGACCCCATTTGTCCATTTTTGCTTTGGTTGCCTGTGTTTGTGCGGTATTACTCAAGAAATCTTTGGGCCAGGTCACTCACAAATGGTTGGGAACCTCATGTGTGCTCTGTCGTTAGTTTGCACCCCCTGAAGGGGCCGCCAGTGGAGGAGGCCTCTGGACTAGGGTTTCTGTCTTTGTGTTAAATCTCTCCTCCAGTGTGGCCCAGTGCCAGGTGGGCTCCCGTGGGAAGCCTGCCGTCAGAACCAGATTGTTATTGTTGGGAAAGACAAAAAAGGCAGAAAGATCCCAGAATATCTGATCTATTTTAATGGCTGGAACAGAAGCTGGGATCAATGCACGGCCGAAGATCATGTGCTTCATGATACCGATGAAAATCGTAGAATACAGCATAAATTGGCAAGAAAAGCTGTAGCTCGCCTGAGGAGCACAGGAAGAAAGAAGTGCTGCAGGTTGCCTGGTGTTGATTCTGCTTAAAAGCCTCCTCATTGACAAAAAAGATGAAAATGATGAAAACTCATTAAGCAGTTCCTCTGACAGCAGCAAAGTATGAAGAAATAAGTGAAGAAAGTGATACTGAAGAAAAGACTGAAGTGAAAGAAGAACCAGAGCTTCAAACAAAAAGAGAAATGGAAGAAACAACAGTAACTACAGAAATTCCTGAAGTTCTGAAGTAGCAAGAGGATGATTATTATTACATTAACAGAAGGAAATGGTTAGTGAAACTTTCATGCCAGACCAACATCATAATGATCTTGGAAGCATTTTGCTCTCAATGCAGCCTTTTCAGCCAATGAGAGGCCTCGTCACCATCATGCTATGCCACATGCCAGTAGGAACGTGCATTATATCCCAGAAGAAAAGAATGTTGACCTTTGTAAGGACATGGTGGATGGATTAAGAATAACCTTTGATTACACTCTACTGTTGGTTTTACTCTATCCTTATGAACAAGCTCAGTATAAAAAGGTGACTTTGCCAGGTGCGGTGGCTAACGCCTGTAATCTCAACACTTTGGGAGGCCGAGGTGAATGGATCACCTGAGGCCAAGAGTTGGAGACCAGCCTGGCCAACATGGTGAAACCCCGCCTCTACCAAAAATACAAAAATTAGCCGGGGATGGTGGCAGGAGCCTGAAATCCCCAGCTACTCAGGAAGCTGAGGCATGAGAATCGCTTGAACCCAGGAGGCAGAGGTTGCAGTGAGCCAAGATCACACCACCGCACTCTAGCCTGGGTGACAAGAGCGAGACTCCATCTCAAAAAACACAAAAAAACAAAAACAAAAACAAAAAAAGGTGACTTCATCCATGTTTTTTTTTCTAATTAAGGAAATTGCCACAAACCCTAATACGATCCAGGAGGAACTCTCTCCCAGCCTGTCTTTGTTGAATTCATCCATGCCACAGTCCACAGAGAGTCAGCCCACCATTAGTGAACCAGACACCCCCAAAAGGCACAAAGCTGAGTTGGAAGCATTGCAGTCTCTGAGGCGGTCCATGAGCCACACCACCAACTGTGACAGACTTTCTGACAGCAGCACCTCACCTCCGCCCAAGGGCCAGCAGCAGCACACATCCGCCAGCATACCCAAGCTGTTTCTGCACCTGGAAAAGGAGACACCTGTGCACAGCAGATCGTCTTCACCTATTCCTCTGACTCCTAGCAAGGAAGGAAGTGCAGTGTTCGCTGGCTTTGAAAGGAGAAAAACTAATGAAATGAACGAGGTCCTATCCTAGAAGCTTATGCCTGATAATTACCCACCAGGTGACCAGTCGTTTCCACCTGTTACATTTACGGGGCATAACATTTGCTGCAATTGTTTGTAAAACTTCCAGAAATTCTTGGAAAGATGTCCTTTTCTGAGAAAAATCTGAAGGCTTTATTGAAGCACTTTGATCTCTATTTGAGGTTTTTTAGCAGAATACTGTGATTACTTTTTCCTAGAGTCAGCTTATGTCACTTCCTGTGAGGTGCATTACACAGCAAGAATCTCCGGGCTATTTATTACAATGTTGATGGTTCTGTAAGAACAACTCCTCTGTCTAGCTTGGTGCTCTGGGTTCCAGATGAACAACTATCAAGGTGGTGGGTCTTTACCCAGAGCACAAACACAATGCCCACGTGGGGGCTCTGACAGAGGTGGGCCCTGTTGTTTGAGTTGCCCACATACTGTAGTTATTCTGTTAGGAATTGTTTCCTGGGTGCCTATAGTGCTCTGACACAACACTTGCTACTGTGTAGGCCATCTGTGATAGCAGGAAAAAAGCAACTGGGTTCACAGTGAAATGTTTGTGGAAGCATACATAGGTTAGGCTATTTCAATAGACATTGCAGTTCATTAGCGAGAACCACATTATTTTGTTATTTGCTAGCATTAAATAAATTTTTTTTTGCAAATTGGTTTCATTCTTTTGATGAAGCTGGGCAACTCTGTCCAACAAGGTTTAGTTTGTACTTGGAAACCACAAAGTAGCCTCAAAGTATGTTAGAGGAACTCGATATTGATGGCAAAAGAAAATTTGCAGCTATACATTTGCTTCTAACAGTTCCCTCTCTGTGAAACATTATTTTTGGTGATCTAAAGAAAGCATTGCCTTTCTTGTTTGAGATTTTACAGCTATACTTTGCTGTGTAATGTTATGGTTACCTGTCTGTAAAATGTTAGTTTTAGTGATCTAAATAAAGCCTATCTTGTTTGAAAGAAAACAAAAACAAAAACAACACAAAAAGAAGTCTTCGCCCACACCAATGTCCTGGAGAGTTTCCCCAATGTTTTCTTGTAGAATTTTCCTTATTTGAGGTCTTAGATTTCAGTCTTTAATCCATTTTGATTTGATTTTTATATAGGGTGAGAGATGGGAGTCTAGTTTCATTCTTCTGCATATAGAACTCCAGTTTTCCCAGCACAATTTATTGAAGAGACTGTCCTTTCCCCAGAGGTTCTTGGCACCTTTGTCAAAAATGAGTTCATTGTAAATGTATGGATTATTTCTGGGTTCTCTTAATGTGCTCCATTGGTCTATGTGTCTGTGTTTATGCTAGTATCATGCTGTTTTGGTTACTATAGCTCTGAGGTATAATTAGAAGTCAGGTACAGTGATTCCTCCAGTTTTGTTCTTTCTGCTCAGGACAGCTTTGGCTATTCTGTTCTTTTGTGGTTCTGTATAAATTTTAGGATTGTTTTTTCTATTTTTATGAAGAATATCATTGGTATTTTCATAGGGATTGCATAGAATTTGTAGATTGCTTTGGGTAGTATGAACATTTTAACAATATTGATTCTTCTAATCTATGAACATGGAGTATCTTTCCTTTTTTGTGTGTCCTCTTCAACTTCTTTTTTTTTTTTTTTTTTGAGACGGAGTCTCGCTTTGTTGCCCAGGCTGGAGTGCAGTGGCGTGATCTCGGCTCACTGCAAGCTCCGCCTCCTGGGTTCACGCCATTCTCCTGCCTCAGCCTCCCGAGTAGCTGGGACTACAGGCGCGCACCACCATGCCTGGCTAATTTTTTGTATTTTTAGTAGTGACGGGGGTTTCACTGTGTTAGCCAGGATGGTCTCGATCTCCTGACCTCATGATCCACCCACCTCGGCCTCCCAAAGTGCTGGGATTACAGGCGTGAGCCACCACGCCCAGCCTCTTCAACTTCTTGCATCAATGTTTTATAGTTTTTATTGTAGAGATATTTCACTACTTTGGTTAATTCCTAAGTATTTAATTTTATTGGTAGCTATTATAAATGGGATTACTTTTTTGATTTTCACAGTGTTTGCTGTTGGCATGTAGAAATGTCACTGATTTTTGTTTGTTGGTTTTGTATCCTGCAATTTTACTGCATTTGCTTATGAGTTCTAATAGTTTTTTGGTGGAGTCTTTAGGTTTTTCCAAATATAAGATCATATCATCTGCAAACAAGGATAATTTAACTTCTTCCTTTTCAATTCAGATGTCCTTTATTTCTTTATCTTGTCTGATTACTAGCTAGGACTTCCAGTACTATGTTGAATAACAGTGGTGAAAGTGGGCATCCTTGTCTTGTTCCAGATCTTAGAGGAAAGGCTTTCCACTTTCCCCATTCAATATGATACTAGCAGTGGGTCTGTCATATGTGGATTTTATTGCTTTGAGGTATGTTCCATCTATACTCAGTTGTTTTTTGGGGGGGTTATCATAAAGGGATGTTGAATTTAATCAAATGCTTTTTCAGCATCAATTGAAATGATCATATGGTTTTTGCCCTTCATTCTGCTGCTATGATGTACCCCTTGATTTGCATATGTTGAACCATTCTTGCATTCCTGGAATAAATCTCAGTTGGTCACGATGAATGATATGTTGTGGAATTCTGTTTGCTAATATTTTGTTGACAATTTTTTCATCCCTCTTCATTTGAGATATTGGACCTTAGTTTTCTTTCTTTTTTTGATGTGTCTTTGGTTTTGTTATCAGGGAAATACTGGTCTTAATGTGTTTGGAAATACTCCCTCCTCCTTTCTTTTTTGGAATAGTTTGAGTAGGATTGGTATTAATTTTTCTTTAAATGTTTGGTAGAATTCTACAGTGAAGCCAACGGGTCATGGGCTTTTCTTTACTGGGAATCTTGTTATTATGGCTTCAATCTCATTACTTGTTACTGGTTTGCTCAGGTTTTGGATTTCTTTATGGTTCAATCTTGGTTGGTTGTATGTGTCTAGGAATTTATCCATTTCTTCCAGGTTTTCCAATTTATTGGCATATCATTGCTCATAGGAGCCTCTGGTGATTCTTTGAATTTCTGTAGTATTGGTTGTATGGTGTATACATATTTGAGATGGGGGTCTCACTCTGTTGCCTGGGCTGGAATGCAGTGGTGTAATCATGGCTCACTGCAGCCTCAACTTCCTGGGCTCAGGCAATCCTGACACCTCAACCTCTCAAGTAGCTGGGGCCGTAGGTGTGTGCCACCACACCTGGCTAATTTTTTTATTATGATTTGTAGAGATGAGGTCTTCCTATGTTGCCCAGGCTGGTCCTGAACTCCTGGGCTCAAGCCATCTGCCAGCCTCAGCCTCCCAAAGTGCTGGGATTACAAGCCTGAGCCAGCATGCCTGGCTGGTTTTAATATTTTTATATGGAAAAAAATATCATAGGCAAAGTTTAAAGGCAAATGACCTACCAGAATGTGACAAAAGTTAATGCTCAAAAGAGCTCTTGAAAACTCAGTAAAAAATAACATTTTATATCTAAAACTGATTCGAAGTTTTAAAACTCTCAGGAACAAAACAGCACATTTACTCTCCTTTATTTATTCTCTGATCCCACTTTCGCTGAGACGTTGAGAAGAACCAATTCCAATATTCTCTTTTATTTCTGACCTCCCACTTTATAATGTGAAGCCTAATAGATACATCCCTAGAGAGAGAATCAAACTTCACAGTCAATATATGCCCCATTCCAATTATAAAGCAGATTGTAAGTCCAGATTTCAGACATACCACATTCACTAGCTGATCCTCCCACCAACTGGAAGAACTGCTGGGCAATTTTCATATGATCCCTCTGAAAAACAAACTGAGCTGATATAGAGGAATAAGGTAAAAATATTTTTATCATACTTTATGGTTCTAACACATTTGTCAGGATTTAACATATACCCTTTGTTTTAAATATTGCCCCAAACAATGCTAATTCTCATTAACATAACAACTAGACCCGAAACTGAATTAAAACCTGTGCAGGGACGGGAAGAAAAGAAGAAAAATAATCAAATCCTTAAATTCTATCCTAAAACTTCATTAAATGAACTCAATCATTCTACAAATATCTATTGCTCTTTTATCATATATCAGACCTTGGAACAGGAGCTATAGATATAACAAGCAGTATTTATTAAACTCATTTATTTAATAAATATTTGCTGCCTATCTATTATACAAGGCACTACAGAATGCACTTGAGATAAAAAGATTTATTCATATCCCAGTTTGTTCCAAAAAGAACAAAGAATGCTACATTAAGATGGATAAGAGCAATTTTAGACAGTGTTTTGGTGTTTATAAAACTAACTTCTCCAGAGAAATAATTTTCCTCACTTTACAGATGCCAAAATTACAGATATACGGAAGTTAAAAAAAAGTCCCTGCAAATAAGAATGAAGTTGCACAATGATTTTTAAGTTTATTAAATAACTTGCTATTTAAAAATTGGACCCTTTTAAGAAAGCAGGAGTCTTTAGGGTTATAAGTGTTTTTTTTTTTGTCTCTAAATAACACAACATTCTTTTCACAATGGAGTCTGGATTGGGGGATATGCAGAAATAAAAGGAACTACAGGAGAGCCTATTGCTGCTTGTACTTTGATAGTCATTTTGTTCTCTTCCACACACCTATAACTTTGCAACCTACAGATTATCAGTGATTTCTTCTTCTTCTTATTATTATTATACTTTAAGTTCTAGGGTACATGTGCATAATGTGCAGGTCTGTTACATATGTATACTTGTGCCATGTTGGTGTGCTGCACCCATCAACTGGTCAGCACCCATCAACTCATCATTTACATCAGGTATAACTCCCAATGCAATCCCTCCCCCCTCCCCCCTCCCCATGATAGGCCCCGGTGTGTGATGTTCCCCTTCCCGAGTCCAAGTGATCTCATTGTTCAGTTCCCACCTATCAGTGATTTCATACTCACTGAACCCATTTCCTGGCCAAGGGCTGCATTGACCACTCCTTTGAGAATATACTCCTAGAAATATGGAATAACACTGATTAAGATGAATGTGGAGCTATGAGATTATTTTCAAATTAACTCCTTGCATTAAATCAATATTTTATATAAATTATCAAAGATTACCTATAGTTACTTTTCTCTGTTCTATCCCTGGCTTGAATGAAAGAATTAGGAGTCACTCATTTAGTTTCTAGCAGCCAAGAATCTATATAACAAAATTTACCATATTTGTAAATTCTCAACCTTAAGCAAAAATAATTCAAGGGAAGCTCTAGGAGATAAGTTTCATTTCATTTAAATTCTATGGAAGAAGAAGTAAAATGTTGATATAATAATTTTTAGTACCTTCTCAACCACTGCCACTGTCTGTGACCATATCATATACATTATTTTCCCTTTCCAATTTTTTTGAGACCGAGTCTCGCCGTGTTGCCCAGGCTGGAGTACAGTAGTGCGATCTCAGCTCACTGCAACCTCCACCCCCAGGGTTCTAGCAATTCTCCTACCTCAGCCTCCCGAGTAGCTGGGATTACAGGCCTCAGCCACCACGCCTGGCTAATTTTTTTGTATTTGTAGTAGAGACGGGGTTTTGCCATGTTGGCTAGGCTGGTCTCGAAATCTGGGCCTCAGGTGATCCACCTGCCTCAGCCTTCCAAAGTGCTAGGATTACAGGCGTAAGCCACCACTCCTGGCCCCTTTCCAATGTTATAGTTACTTTTCTTTGCTAGTAATCCTTTTCCTAAAAAAAAAATAAAAGTGTCCTCTGATGTCCATTTATAAGGTATTCTCTCTTTTGGAGTCTTGAGGCCTCACTTGTATCCCTTTTTTCAGACTTGGTTCAATTCTTTAATAGATACCCTCCCTAGCGAGCAGCGTTATCAATCTTTCATTTAAGAGAGCTCACACACAGAACAGCATGAAAGAAGCTGAATCTTTTAATATACTTGAGAAATATACCTGTTTAAACTTCATGGGGTCTGGAAATATTTTCGTCAGTCCTTCATTCAATAAATGGAATGCTTACTATGTACTTCATGTACACAGTGTTAGAGATACAATATAGACACAGTCCCTGACTATAAGGAGTTAACAATCCAATGGGGAAGAAAGACAAGTTATAGACAATTTATGAAATAATTGCATGTATCTAGTTGTTAGTTTCATCAGAATTCTAAATTTTCATATTTCCAAACACTAAAGGAATTTTCCAAATTTCTTTACCCTTTTTGACAAAATGACTACACACAAGGGAGTTTAAAAACATGAAAAAGCCCAGAACATTCATTCTCATATCACAAGTCGCATATAACATTCCTAAATGAATACATATGGTCTTTTCCTGGTATTCTACAGGCAGGAGTCTGCCTAATCTTCTCTAATATGACTTCCAACTAGATTTCTGAAGTTCCACTTTTAGCAGAACTTGGTTAGTAAAAATGTAAAACATTCTCAGTTACCTGAGGAGTAGTAGGTTCCAGATCCTTAATTAAGTTATAAGCTTCTTGTACATCATCTGAAATACAACAAAGTAATTATACTAGTCTGTAATCCAGAAAACCCTTCTGAAGCAGTCCCTCCCAAAAGATAAGATCCTTCAGTACTTAAATATTCATGGGAAACATGATCTGTTTTATCCGTCTTCTAACTCTCCATATTCGGTGTTGAGTAGTTATGCTAAAAATAACCAAATCAAATATCCTTAGAAAACTCATATTAAGCCATGAAGTACCTTAAAAATTGTTGAAGCTAAGAACATGGATGAGGCATTCTATGCCAATGGCATTGATAAGAAAAGCAACAATTTTTTTTAAAAAAGATATATATATATATATTAAGTATATAGGAATTAAATGACATGAAGTCTGAGATTTGCTTTAAAATGTTTCAGGAACAGAAAAGAGGTGCTGAATGAAAAAAGAAGACTGGAAATATCCTGAAAAGTGCTGAATCCAAGGTGAGTATTTGGGTGTTTACTGTACTATTTATTTTTGTCTATGTTTGAAATTTTCCATAATAAAAATAATTTATAAAATATATATGCTGTTTATTTCATTCTTGTCCAAAACATATTTCTTTTTGCTTTTATATAAAATAGAGGCGGGCCGGGTACGGTGGCTCAAGCCTGTAATCCCAGCACTTTGGGAGGCCGAGACGGGCGAATCACGAGGTCAGGAGATCGAGACTATCCTGGCTAACCCGATGAAACCCCGTCTCTACTAAAAAAATACAAAAAACTAGCCGGGCGAGGTGGTGGGCGCCTGTAGTCCCAGCTACTCGGGAGGCTGAGGCAGGAGAATGGCGTGAACCCGGGAGACGGAGCTTGCAGTGAGCTGAGATCTGGCCACTGCACTCCAGCCTGGGCGACAGAGCGAGACTCCGTCTCAAAAAAAATAAATAAAATTAAATTAAAAATAAATAAATAAATAAAATAGAGGCTGGGCACGGTGGCTCAGACCTGTAATCTCAGCACTTTGGGAGGCCGAGGCAGGCGGATCACCTGAGATCAGGAGTTCAAGACCAGCCTGACCAACATGGCAAAACCCCATCTCTACTAAAAGTACAAAAATTAGCCGGGCACAGTGGCGCACGCCTGTAATCCCAGCTACTCAGGAGGCTGAGGCAGGAGAATTGCTTGAACCGGGGAGGGAGAAGTTGCAGTGAGCGGAGATCATGCCACTGCACTCCAACCTGGGCGACAGAGTAAGACTCTGTCTCAAAATAATAAGAATAATAATAAATAAATAAAATAAAATAGGACGGTTTGTAAGTTCATATTCTTATTTTAATAAATAAATTTTCCTCCATGAGGAATATGTTGTCCTGGTTGGTTTCTACCATGCACCTAAAAAGGCCCACATTGTAACTGCAGGGCCCATGACCAAATGCCACCACAAATGCATGGTGGCTGCTACCCTGTACTCACAGCTGTTAGAAAAGGCTGCTTCAGGCGTTTGTCTAACAATTGTAATCTTACTTAGGGGCAATAAATATCATATCCTCTTTGAATAATAGTATTTCTTATAAGCAGCCTGGGATACAAAGAAACAAAGGCAGACAATCAAAGCAAATAAGAAACAGTTAATACTTTTTTCAAAAGACACAAGAAAATGTGAATGTACATTATGCAACAGGGGAAACTAGAAAAAGAAAAAAGAACTATAAGGGAAGGGGAGGAAAAACAATGAAAAAGAAAGAATGGATAGAGAATAAAGTACAGAAAAATGAAAGGAAAAAAGAAAAAACAGAATGAGGGAGAAGAAGGTAGGAAGCGACAGAAGAGGAAAGAGGATAAAAAAAGGCACAACAAATAACCACCAATAAACTTGTTCTATGAACTTGTTGCAAATATATTTTTGGAAGTATGGATTTAAAAAGTGAAGTAAATAGTTCCATCAGACATATTTAACTACTCTAAAATACCTCATTGTAAGTAAGACTAGGACAAATTTTTCTTACCTTGACGAAGGTAGTAAATCACCAAGTTTAGCCTAGCTTCAGGAATGACATCAACTAGGGGAGGTAAAACCTGCAAAGCCCCTTCACCTCCTCGGAAAACAACCTAGAGATATAGAAATCATGCTCTTATGGCAATAATTATGTATATATTTCTTAGTGACAATGTTTAAGGAGCTGGCACATATAACTGGGTTCATGATATTCAACTAAAATAGTACTGGGAATCAGTTGATATATTGAGAACTTTTACTATTGGCGGAATTTATTATTGCCTACCTAATCCGCATGCTTCTTACCTTCTCTCTTCTTTTCCTTCCTCTCTGCTGTTGATCCTCCTTAACAGCCTTGTCATAACTAAACATTTTATTTTTAACCCTATATAAAACCTACCTCCATTATCACTCTCTCTAAACCCTTGCCCTTTTTTATTCATAGCACTTACATCTTTATTTTATTGTATATTTCTTTATCTGTTTATCTATTACATCCACCAGAATATAAGCTCCATATGGCAAGGAACTTTGCATTTACTGTGTACTCCTAGCCTCTAGAACTGTGACTAGTATAGTCAGCACTCAGTTATTTTTTGAAAGGACGAATATATTTTTGAAGCTCTATTTATATATATGACCTTGACTTCGTTGGAAGAAAGCCATGATCTAAATTATAACAATATACACATATTGTATACCCACAAAAATTTAAATTAAAAATTTGAAAAAATAAAATTATAATAACTATGAGAAATAGAATAAAAGCATAACCCTTATTGTGTACATCTCTTTTCCTCTCCATAAGAACTGCAGAAAACTCCTAAAGTACCCAATAATTAACAAAACTTCTAGACAGACATTCTACATCAAAAACTCCATGAAGGGACTTATATATCCTTTCTGAGCCTGTTTCCTCATCTCTAAATGGCATTAGTAATGGCTACCTTTCAGGTTCTTATGAGGATTAAATGAGCTAAAGTGGGCTAAATGTGTGGCACGTATTTCAGTGTTTCATTGAATTAATTTAGTAAACATTCATTAGCATGTACTATATGCCCACTACTGTAACAAGCACGGGAGTTATAGCAGGAACAGGCCACTACCCTGTCACCCCAGACTATTCAAGTGGGGACAGACCTCCATTAAGCAAACTAATAAATATGTTATCAGGTGCTAATAAGTATTACAGAGATAAGCTAAGAAATCAAAACAAACAAAAAAAATCCATGAAAGGACAAGTTATTTTGCGTACTGTTGTATTTCTAGAGCCTGGCATAGTGTATGGAATGTAGCAAACTGTTTCACAAATAAATGCACAGAAAGCAAGGTCATCCAGCATGAACTACATAATCTCTTCTCTCAACCCCAAAATATCTATCTAGTGATCTTTTTTGTTTCCTCTTTGAGATATTCCCTTCTTTTGCCAAGATTAATTCATTCACCTGTCTTCTTGAACCCATGGACTTCTAACTCCATCTGGACCTCTTTTCCCCTTTAATTATTGTACCCTCAGTCTTCCCAAAGTCCTGGTCCTACTTCTCAACTTTAAACACACACAAGGGGTTTTTGTTCTCTTGAAAAATCTTCCACTTGGTCCCACTGTTTCCTCTAGATAGTGCCCTATTTTTCTCTTTTCTTTCAATGCCACACTTCAAAAGTATGTGGCTTACTGCTTCTACTTTCTTCTCATCTTCTCACTCCTTAACCTCTCAAAACATTGGCTTCTGCTCTCAGCATACCAATAAACTCACTCTCAGGAGTCACAAATTCATCTCTTTAGCCAAATTCAATGGACTTTTCTGTCCTCTTGCTCCATGATGTGTCTGCAGTTTTGACACGGATGCCTACAAGATAACAATAATAACAACAACGCCATTTTTTCTTTTTTTTTTAGACGAAGTCTCTCTCTGTCACCCAGGCGGGAGTGCAGTGGCGCGATCTTGGCTCACTGCAAGCTCTGCCTCCCAGGTTCAAGCCATTCTCCTGCCTCAGCCTCCCGAGTAGCTGGGACTACAGGCGCCCGCCATAACGCCTGGCTAATTTTTGTATTTTTAGTAGAGACAGGGTTTCACCGCGTTAGCCAGGATGGTCTCGATCTCCTGACCCTGTGATCCGCCTGCCTCGGCCTCCCAAAGTGCTGGGATTACAGGCATGAGCCACCGCGCCCTGCCTATCAATGCCATTTTCTAAATGCATACTGTGTGAAGCACCTTACACATTACCTCATTTAATCTTCACAAAAAAAGCAAGATAAGTACTTTTTTTTTTTTTTTTGAGATGGAGTCTTGCTTTGTCGCCCAGGCTGGAGTGCAGTGGTGCTATGTCGGCTCACTGCAACCTCTGCCTCCCGGGTTCAAGCGATTCTCCTGCCTTGGCCTCCTGAGTAGCTGGGATTACAGGCGTGTGCACCAGCATGACCTGCTAATTTTTGTATTTTTAGTAGAGGTGGGGGTTTCACCATGTCGGTCAGGCTGCTCTTGAACTCCTGACCTTGTGATCCGCCCGCCTTGGCCTCCAAAAATGCTAGGATTACAGGCATGAGCCACTGCACCCGGTCAAAATAAGTACTTTCATTTTCCCGATTCTACACATGAGAACACAGATTCAGCAATGTTAAGTGATTTACCCAAAGTCACAAAGCAAGTACATGGTAGAACTTGATTTTGACCTCAAATCTAACTTCAAAAGTTGATGTTTTTTTTGTTTTGTTTTGTTTTTTGTTTTTTTTTGAGACGGAGTCTCGCTCTGTCGCCCAGGCTGGAGTGCAGTGGCCTGATCTCAGCTCACTGCAAGCTCCGCCTCCCGGGTTCACGCCATTCTCCTGCCTCAGCCTCCCGAGTAGCTGGGACCACAGGTGCCCGCCAGCTCGCCCGGCTAGTTTTTTGTATTTTTTAGTAGAGACGGGGTTTCACTGTGTTAGCCAGGATGGTCTCGATCTCCTGACCTTGTGATCCACCCGTCTCGGCCTCCCAAAGTGCTGGGATTACAGGCTTGAGCCACTGCGCCCGGCCCAAAAGTTGATGTTTTTTAACAACCACTTATATTGCCCTGATATTTTTCAGGTTTAAAAAAATATATAAAAGTAATATGTGTTCACTGGAAAAAACTTAAAGTATTGGCCGGGCGCGGTGGCTCAAGCCTGTAATCCCAGCACTTTGGGAGGCCAAGGCGGGCGGATCACGAGGTCAGGAGATAGAGACCATCCTGGCTAACATGGTAAAACCCTATCTCTACTAAAAAATACAAAACATTAGCCGGGCAAGGTGGCGGGCGCCTGTAGTCCCAGCTACTCGAGAGGCTGAGGCAGGAGAATGGCGAAAACCCAAGAGGTGGAGCTTGCAGTGAGCTGAGATCCAGCCACTGCACTCTAGCCTGGGCGACAGAGCGAGACTCTATCTCCAAAAAAAAAAAAAAACTTAAAGTATTAAGAAAGAAAAATTTCCATATTCTTACTTCTCTTTCTAATCCCACTCTCTAAGAATTATCCCTATTTCATGTTCCTTTCAGTCATATATTCATATACTGTTTCTTTACCATAGCTGTATATTATATCCACCTGGGATGCTTTAAAAAAAAAAAAACTAGGCCGGGCGCGGTGGCTCAAGCCTGTAATCCCAGCACTTTGGGAGGCCGAGACGGGCGGATCACGAGGTCAGGAGATCGAGACCATCCTGGCTAACACGTTGAAACCCCGTCTCTACTAAAGAAATACAAAAAACTAGCTGGGCGAGGTGGCGGGCGCCTGTAGTCCCAGCTACTCTGGAGGCTGAGGCCGGAGAATGCCGTGAACCCGGGAGGCGGAGCTTGCAGTGAGCTGAGATCTGGCCACTGCACTCCAGCCTGGGCGACAGAGCGAGACTCCGTCTCAAAAAAAAAAAAAAAAGAAAACCTTCCATATTAATCTGTCAATACTCTTACAATAACTCCTAAATTTATTCTCAAGTCTTTATCTTTCTCCAAGCTTAAATTCCAGACTACCATATAACCCATAATGCTCCAGAAAAATTAATCTGGCTTCTATTTAGAAACTAAATTTAAAGTTAAAAGATTAGATGCAGAAACTCATAGTAGAAACTATCCAAATAAAACTGTATCTGTGATGGAGGCCTGAATTAGAGACGAAATGGAGTAAATATAAGGCATTGCCAGCAAGAAGAGAATAGGATTTAGTAACTGAATAGGTACTGGAGATAAAGAGAAGGGGAGAATCTAAAACAGCTGTGGTTTACTGGAAGAATTGGTACTATAAAAAGGAATAGAGAAATCAGAAGGAAAAAGCATAGTTATTATTATTGCCACTTTTGGATGAAGAATCTCAGTAGTATTAGTTGATTTGCCCAGTGTTCCCAGATATCTGAATTGAGAGCAGCTGTTCTGCATCTCACTATATTACATGGTTGATAGAATCATAATCTAGCCCTAAACCCAACCACCCATCCAATTTGAGTGTCTGCTATTCCCCACTACAAATTTACTGTTCTAGTAAGATAAATCTGCTCACAATCCTTTACATATGTCACCCTCATTCTAGCTCCATGTCCTTGACTAGAATGAACTCTCTAAATCTCAGCCATCCTTCAAAGATGCAAAAATATTTGCCATTTATTTTAAACCACAGGGGGATATGTTCCTTTGTCTTTCCCCAAAAAACAGACACCTGGATCTACACTGCCTTGTGCTTCTTTCCAAATATTAAATATATTCTTGTTCTCCCAACAAGGACTTCCTTAAGGAAACAGACTAGTACTTTAAAACTTATCTCCTCCACAGTGAGGAGGTGTTCCCTTGGAGTAAAGCATTATTTGCTGGGGCTTCTCCTTTTATTCATCTTTCTAATGGCTGTGATATACCAAAGCAGAGTAGGACTGAAGTCAGTCAAGATGGCAAATCGTTATTCACCAGATTGTGCCTGATGAGTTCTTTAGCAAATTCAAAGGATGAAGAAGCATTGTCCATCAAGCTTTTGAGTTCTGCCTGAAATTTAAAAAAGAAAGGCTTATGAAAATGACAAGTGTATAGTTCTTATACCACATATTGACACAATGGTTTATAATTTACAAAGAATTTAACAAGCTATTTCATTTGATCCTCATGACTCTAGGTCAATGTAATTATTATTACCCACATTTTCAAATGAGGGCAATAATAAATGAAAACAATGAGGCTTATAAAAGTTAAGTGATTTGGGCTGGGCACAGTGGCTCATGCCTGTAATCCCAGCACTTTGGGAGGCCAAGGGGGCGGATCACAAGGTCAAGAGATCGAGACCATCCTGGTCAACATGGTAAAACCCCCATCTCTACTAAAAATACAAAAAAATTAGCTGGGTGTGGTGGCACACGCCTGTAGTCCCAGCTACTAAGGAGGCTGAGGCAGGAAAATCACTTGAACCTGGGAGGCGGAGGTTGCAGTGAGCAGAGATGGCGCCACTGCACTCCAGCCTGGTGACAGAGCGAGACTGTCTCAAAAAAAAAAAAGTTAAGTGACTTGAAACTTATACTAAGCAGCAAGTTTGAAAACTGGGATACTCACGTCTGAAGACTCGTAGAGTTAGTTTTTTCTTTCAGTGTCAAAGGTGATGAAGGAGCTAAGCCTTAAACAACTAAGGCTGATTCTTTAATCTGAAAGGAGATTTTAAGAAATCCTCCTTTCATCCCTTTTCTATTTCTATTAGTGGGTTGTTAAGCTTTTCTGGATAAAAATAATTAAATTCTTGATTGTTCTTCACTAACTATCACAAACTCGTTCTGCCTGATCTCATAATTGGGAATGCATGTCTGCTCAGCAATTTTTCTATCACTCTTCTCTCGTCCACAGTACAGTTCCAAAGTTTTGGGTAATATTAGGTTACATCAGCAGTTTTCAAGCTTTTTGGTCTCAAGATCCCTTTTATACTCTATAAATGATCTCAAAGAATTTTTGTTTATGTGGCAAATAGCCCTCAATACTTATCATATTAGAAATTAAAACAGAAAAATTTAAGTATTCAATTCATCGAAAATGGTAGTAATAATATGCCTTAAAATATGTCGGAATTAACATTTGGTCTCAATTTCAGAGCAACTTGTCATTTCTGAAAATAAAAACAATCAAATTTTTTTAAAAGTTTAAAAATAGGCCAGCCGCGGTGGCTCAGGCCTGTAATCCCAGCACTTCGGGAGGCCGAGACGGGCGGATCACAAGGTCAGGAGATCGAGACCATCCTGGCTAACATGGTGAAACCCCGTCTCTACTAAAAATACAAAAAATTAGCTGGGCGTGGTGGCGGGCACCTGTAGTCCCAGCTACTCGGAGGCTGAGGCAGGAGAATGGCGTGAAGGTGGAGCTTGCAGTGAGCCGAGATCGCGCCACTGCACTCCAGCCTGGGTGACAGAGCGAGACTACGTCTCAAAAAACAAAAAAAAAAGTTTAAAAATAACAATAATAAACCCCACTACAAATTGACTTACATATTTTTTTTACTTTAAAAAACTGTATTTATCAAATCAAAAATTTAGTGAGAACAGTGTTATTGTTTTACATTTTTTGCAAATCTCTTTAATGTCTGGCTTAACAGAGGATAGATGGATTGTAATATCTGTATCTGCATTCGATCTATTTTGAGTCCATATTGTGCCAAGTGACAAGGACAAAAAAGAAAGCCCAATACCAGTACAAGGTGGGAAGTCTAGTGAAAGACCCTTCCCACAATCAGCAGGAACTACTAAAGAGCTACATGGCAAAGGAAGGATAAAATGGAATTTTCTATGAACTTTTTGGGGACCCCTTGAACATAAATTAATAAAATAAAAAAACAGTTGTATAATAGGATTAAAAACAAAAGTTGGTTTTTGAAAAGACTAAAAAAATGTGAAAATGTAAACGAAATTATCAAATTTTTAGAAAAATACAACTTACCAAAAATAACAGAAGAAGAAATAGAAAACATGCATAGTCTTATAACGACTAAAGGAACTGAATTAGGTAATTTAAAATCTTCCAAACCTAGACAGTTTTATCAATAAGTTCTACCAAACATTTAAGAAAAAGCCAATGTTATACAAACTCTTCCAGAAAGTAGAAACATATGGTACCTGCTTCAATTAATTCATTTTCCTTTGAGATAACCTTTGCACCAAATCCTGACAAGAACTATACCAAAAAAGCAAATTATAAACCAATCAAACCAATATGTATTGATGCAACAAATTAAATAATAGCTATCTAATATGTGATATGTAAAGAGAAGAATGAACCATGATGAAGCTGGGTTTATTCTGGTATAAAGTTGATTTTTAAAATTTTTTATTTTTTTGAGACAGGGTCTCACTCTGCTGCCCAGGCTGGAGTTCAGTGGTGCCATCTTGACTCACTGCAACCCCTGTCCCCCAGGCTCAAGTGATCCTCCCACCTCAGCCTCCCAAGTGTCTGGGACCACAGCTACACACCACCACACCAGGGTAATTTTTCTATTTTTAGTAGAGGTGGGATTTCACCGTGTTGTCTAGGCTGGTCTCAAACTCCTGACCTCAAATGATCCCCCCACCTCAGCCTCCCAAAGGGGTGGGATTACAGATGTGAGCCACCACGTTCAGCCTAAAGTTGATTTAACAATAGAAAATACTTCAAATAATTTGCCACAAGAATAAAGGAAAATATGATCGTTTCAATAGACAAAGAATACACGATGTTATACTTCAACATCTGATCCTTATGAAACCTCTTAGCAAACTAACACTGGAAGGGAATTTCCTTAATCTGATAAAGGATATCTTTTTAAATCTACATTAAACATCATGTTTAATGATGAAATATCATTTCTTAATGATGAAATATCATCAAAAACTTTCGTTTTGAGACAAAAAAACCTTACAAGTGTGTGTGTGTGTATATATATGTATATGTATTTTTTTTTTTTAGATGGTATTTAGCTGTGTTGCCCAGGCTGGAGTGCAGTGGTGCAATCTTGGCTCACTGCAACCTCCGCCTCCCGGATTCAAGCGATTCTCCTGCTTCAGCCTCCCAAGTAGCTGAGATTACAGGTGCATGCCACCACGCTCGGCTAATTTTTGTATTTTTAGTAGAGACGGGGTTTCACTGTGTTGACCAGGCTGGTCTTGAACTCCTGCCTGCATGATCTGCCTGCCTTGGCCTCCCAAAGTGCTAGGATTATAAGTGTGAGCCACTGCACCCAGCCACAACAATATTTCAAATATTCAACAATGTTCCAGAGGCCCTAGTCGTGCAATAAGAGAGAAATAAAATCATAAGAATTAGAAAGGAAGAAACAAAATAATGATATGATTATATATATACATATATATAAAATACAAATGGATTTACAGGTAAATTATTAGGATTAATAAGAGATTTCTCAAAAGATGACATGCTAATGACCAACAGGTATATGAAAAAATGTTCAGCACTACTAATCATCAAGGAAATGCAAATAAAAACCACAATGTGATATCATCTCATTCCAGTTAGAATGGCTATTATCAAAAACACAAAAGATTACAAGAGTTGGCAAGGATGTCGAGAAAAGGGAACCCTTGTGCACTGTTGGTGGGAATGTGAATTAGTAGTGTAGCCATTATGACAAACAGCATGTAGATTCCTCAAAAAATTAAAAATAGAATTACCATACGATCTAGCAATCCTACTACTAGATATCTATCCAAAGGAAATGAAATCAGTATGTCAAAGAGGTATCTGCACTCCCACGTTCATTGCAGCGTTATTCACAGTAGTCAAGATATGGAAGTAATCTAAGTGCTATCAACAGACAAATGAATAAAGAAAATGTGGTAAATAAACAATGAAACTATTCAGCCTTAAAAAAGAAGGCAATTCCATCATTTGCAACAACATGAATGAACCTGAAGGACATTAGTTAAGTGAAATAAGCCAGACACAGAAAGACAACCACCACATGATGTCACTTGTATGTGGAATCTAAAAAAGTTGAACTCACAGAAGCAGAAAGTAGAAGAGTAGTAACCAGGGCCTGGAGCCAGGAGGGTGAAGATTGGGAAGATGTTGGTCAAAGGATACATTATTTCAGATGGAGGGGAGGAATAAGTTCAATGAATCTATTGTACAACATAGTATACATTATATACAACATAATGTACAACACTATTGCACAACAATGACTTCTAGTTAATGACAATGTATTATATATTTAAAAATTGCTAAGAGAGTAGACTTGAAGTGTTCTCACCACAAAAAAAATGTGAGTAATACATATGTTAATTAGCTTGATGTGACCATTCTACAATGTATACATATTTCAAAACAACATGCTGTACACCATACATATATACAATTTTTGTTGCTTTAAAAAATTGTTTAATGTAACTTAAAACAAGATAATCTAGCAAGATCTCTTAAATTGACCTCTTAAATTGATCCAAAGTCAATTTTTTAAAAAAGTTTTATTTTATTTTATGTGAACAGAGTCTCACTCTGTCACCCAGGCTGCAGTGCACTCCAGTGCAACCTCCATCTCCTGGGTTCAAGCAATTCTCCTGCCTCAGCCTCCCAAGTAGCTGGGATTACAGGCGTGCACCATCATGCTCAGCTAATTTTTGTATTTTTAATAGAGACAGGGTTTGACCATGTCGGCCAGGTTGGTCTCAAACTCCTGACCTCAAATGATCCACCAGCCTCAGCCTCCCAAAGTGCTGGGATTACAGGCATAAGCTACCACACCCAGCCGATCTTAGGTCAGTTAAAAAAATCTACTGTAGAACTTACTCTTTCCCAGCTGGAACCATGAAAAGTGTCAAAGAAAAAAAAAAAAGGGTTCCAGCTGTGCCAGAACTCCTTAAGGAAAAGCATGGCAAAGGAATTTCATAGAGTTGAAGATTAAGAACCTGACAAAGACGTTTTTCCAAAAGAGACTTCAAAAGGAAAGAAGGTGGCCAGGTGCAGTGGCTCACACCTGTAATCCTAGCACTTCGGGAAGCCAAGGTGGGTGGATCACTTGAGGT